AGGTGCTTCTTGGTGGCTTTCAGCTAGTAGTTGAGCACTTAGCCCAGGGACTCCTCCTAGAAGGACTAGGGAGAAAATTAAAGGAGTGGGCCATTTGAAGGATGGGTGGGAGGAAAGAATGTTGCCAACAGAAGGAGCAACCATGCAAAGGCGTCTAGTTGAGAAGGAGCTTTAGTGTTCAAGGAACTGAGGGTAAGCCGGTGAGGCTGGAGCTGGTAAAAAAGGCGCGTTCAATTATGAAACAAGTGGGAGAGGTAGGCGAAGAGGGTCTTAGGTGGGTTGGGTGGTGCCTTGGGTGGGATTTTATTTTGAGAGCAAGGGGAAGTCATTGAAGGATTTTAAGAAGAATGTTGCCTTTTAAGACCTATCTGGGTCTTAAAAGCTTGCAAGCAGCCATCCAAAGTGCAACACTTGGTCTTTATTAACCTAGAGCAATAGAGGAATGAGAATCAGGAATAGGAAGAGGAAATGGAATGTATGGCTAATTCCCTCCGGGAACAACTGCCTCCTTTGCCATGAGACCAGAACTGGATGGTACCTGGCTCCCATTACTGAACATTTTGATCAAAGATTCTATAGAAGAATCCTGATCAAAAGGGGGAAAACACAGAACAGAATTTCGAATCTTCATGGTGTCTTAGGCTGTGTTCTCTAGAGGAGCAAAACCGGTGAAGTGTATATATAAATATACATAGAGAGATTTATTTCAAGGAAATGGCTCATGCAATTATGTAGGCTGGCAAGTCCCAAATCCATGGGTCAGGTGGCAGGCTGGAGGCTTCTCCTAACTCGTGTGGTTGCAGAAGCTGATGAACCCAAAATCTGCAGGTCAAGGGGCAGGCTGCTGGCTCACAGGGTTGCAGGAGCTGGCGAATCCAAAATCTACAGGTCAGGCAGCAGGCTGAAATCTTCTCAAGTCCCAAGAACCAGAGGTTAGAGGATGACGAGATGAATGCAGGATTAGAAAGACAGAGAGTTTTCCCAGAACATCCACATATATATTGGATGTAGGCCACATCCCCAAGGAAACTCTCCTTCCAAATGATTGGCTGCTCACATCAGATCACAAAATAGAGAATGATTACATAACATCTGCCAAACCACTGAGAATCATGGCCTAGCCAAGTTGACACATAACATTAACTATTACACATGGAATCCAGATTTTCTGGAGCCACTGAGACTGGATGAACCCCTGAAACTATTGCCCTGAGATTATCTTTAAACCTTAAACCAAAAATAACACCTGAAATCTTGAATAATAGTTTCGCTTAAATAGCAAAGGATGTCTGCCTTGAGCATCCTGCTCTTTTAAAGAACTATCTATATGGGATCAAATTGACAACAGCAACTCGAAGATTAGATAGGAACCTTAGGGGGCAGTGAGTTTATGTTAATAGTGGAGGAACAACTCAGAAAAGGAGGGTGAGAATGGTTGCACAACTTGAAGAATATAATCAATGTCACTGAATTGTACTTGTAGAAATTATTGAATTGGTGTATGTTTTGCTGTGTCTATTTAAAAAAAAAAAAGACCCATTGGAAAGCAGTTCCAGCGCTGCCTTTGTGGGCCTGTTGGTTGCACAGAGGTCTTGCCAACCTGGCTGTAAGAACAAGCTCCTCCCCCTGGTCTGAGGGACCTAGATGGTGGGTTCCAGTTCTGGAGGCAGATGGCAGGAATACCAGTCCAGCCCTGTCCCGCAGTAGATGGGTGCTCTTTAGCTGCCATCCACTCTGAGCTTGAGCGTCCTCATCTGAAAATAAGGACAGTCCACGGTACCTACCTCTGAGAGCTGGGAAGAGGCAGTGTGTTGAATTATGTAAGGCACTTGGAACAGTGCCTGGCACATAGCAAGTGCTATAAAAGTTTATTATTTTTGCTATTAGTGGGAAGCTTATCAGAGTCCAAATACTGTTGCCTCTAGGCTAATGCTTCTCAAACTTGGCATCAGGATCACCCAGTCCCACCCCTGGAGATCCTGATTCAGTAGGTCTGTCTGGGATGGCCTGAGAATTTGCATTTCAAGCAAGCTCTCAGATGGTGCTGACCCCTGTGGTCTGCAGACCTGGCAGATTCAGGCGAGGGCTGGCACAGCCTCTTGGAAATATTTTGGACAATGATGGCTGGCCTCTCACTGTGGCAGCCGCCTCTAGCTTAATGGAAAGTGGCAGATGGGAGGAGACCCAAAGCCCCAGAATTCCCTGGGAAATTCCAAGTACTCATTCTTGGAGGCAGGAGAGCAGGGTTCAGCAGGTCTCAACATTTAGGGTGCCCCAGAACTCCTTGGGCAGATGGTAAAAACACAGATTTTGGGGGTTCATCCCAGAGATTGTGCTTCAGCCTGGGAATGGAACTCAAATACCTTGAAGTTACACAACTTCCCACATGATTCTGCTGAAGGTGGGCCACGGGCCACACTTGCGCAAATGGGGACATAGTGGTTTTGAAGTTAGATAAACCCAAGTTTGTATCTCCCTGAACAATTTTCTATCTGTGTGGCTTGAAAACGTCTCCAAATCTTGCTTCCTTATCTGAAAAACGAGCTGCTAGATACCAGTAATACCCTCCCCATGAGGATTAAATAAAAATATTTGTGTAGAGGCCATAAAAGTTACCATCATAGACGCCAGTGTGCAAAAGTATAACTGGCTTTGTTTATCTATAGCTTATACTAACTCAGCCCATGACCTCTTATTTCTGCTAATAGCAGAAAATGTCAGCTTGGAAATTCTATCACTAACTCAGACCACATCAGTTTAAAAAAAAAAAAAAATTCAGTCTCAAAAAAAAACCCATCACTGGACACTCTGCTTGGCCAAAGCCAAGATCTCTCCTCCTCCTTTGCTGGCTCTTCCCCTGGAGATGATCAGGTTCTTCAGGGGCTAATTATCTTGACTTTCCTGGTGCTTCCACACAGTATGGCTGGTCCTGGCACTGGCATCCCCAGCTGGTGCCCGTGGGGCCTCTGTGGCCACTGGTTGCATGGCCCCTGGACTTGGCCTTCCGGCCCCTCCCCTAGGCCTCCTTACCTGCCTGCTCTCTTGTTTCTTTGCTCAGAGCTCTCCAACAGCTGCACCTCTGAGGTATTCCCAGCCCATATGGCTGCCTCTAATCATCTGTCCAGACCCCTTCCTCAGCCGTGGTTGATGAGCTGCTCAGGTGCCATATTGAATATGGGCCTTACTTGGTTTTGATCACTGCTGATCCCCACCTTCCACCAGGTAGCCCAACCTCTATCTCCTTTTACCAGTTGGGTGGAAAGAAGATTCTGGTCCCTCTTCACCCCGCTTTCTGCCCTTTCTGTGATTTGTGGGAAAATCTTGTGCTCTGTGTCCTCCAGGGGCAGGCTCACTGGTATCCATCATCCTATTCTCTCTCAACAAAGCCTGGTTCTTGCGAACAAAAGCCTGGCTCTCAGACAAGTGCTTCTGCCTGAGACTTACACAAACCCATTCAGCACCTCAGTTGAATTCTTGCTTGGAGGGTGCATCTGCCCTTCCCTGAGGGCAGGGCAAATAGACCCACTACCTCTGCCCCAATGGTGGGGGAAAGCAATAGGTAAAGGAAGCTTGGGGGGTGGAGGAGGGCACCTCAAAATATTACCCCTGTATATCTCTTAGCCGCCACCGTCTGTCAGTTTGTCATATTGTGGTGACTTGCGTGTTGCCATAACGCTGAAAGGTACGCCACCAGTATTTTAAATACCAGCAGGGTCACCCATGGTGAACGGTTTCATTGGAGCTTCCACATTAAGACAGACTAGGAAGAAAAGGCCTTGTGAGCTTCTTCCAAAAATTAGCCAGTGAAAACCTTCTAAACGAGGGTGAGAACGGTTGCACAACTCAAAGAATGCAATCAATGTCATTGAAATGTACACGTAGAAACCGTTGAATTGGTATATGTTTTGCTGCGTATATTCTCAACCATAACAACAAAGTAAATTAAAAAGATAACCCTATGGATCACAGCAGAACATTTTCCCATATAGTGCTAAAAGATGAACCTTCCAGGTTAGAAAAAACTCAAAATACACAGTGGCCACAACAGTGGACTTGAGCATGTCAACATCGGATGGTGCGGGACCAAGCAGCCTTTTGTTCTGTTATACGTCGGGTCGCCATGAGTCGGAGCCAACTTACAGCAACTAACAGCAGCATCACCTCTTAAAGTACTTGCTCAGCACATGCCTGGCCTAGAGTAACTGCTCAATGAAGACAGCCGTGACAGTTGTGATGAGGAAGAGGAGAGCTTCTTCTCCCTGGATGTGACTCTGGCTCTGACTGGCTGTGACTGTGCTCCCAAGACCAAGGGGGCCTAGGAAGACACCCAGGAGGAGAGGGTCACAAACCAGTGACTTGTCTGCTTTCGGTTCTGGGGGAAGCGGGGCCTCTGCAATGGGCCCTGCTCCCTGCCCTGCCTGGGGAAGGACTCAGGAGAAGTGGAGGCCACCTGTGTATGCCCACCTCTCCCCCAAGGGGCCAGGAATGCCACCACCAGAGATCCATGCCTTCATATTGAGCATTGTCCCCTCCAGTGTCATCCTGTAATATAAATACCCCAGTAACAGTGTGTCTATTGGGAGCTCCCAGGGTCAGCGAAAAAGAGGAAGACCCTCGAACGAGAGGGACTGACACAGTAGCTGCAACAATGGACTCAAACACAGCAGTGATTGTGAGGACGCTGCAGGACCGGGCCGTGTTCCCTTCTCTTGTACACAGGGTCACTATGAGTAGGAACCAACTTGACAGCACCTAACAACAACAACAGATTGGTAGCTCCCAGGGGGTGCACTTATCTGGGCTGGGCCCCGAGAACACCTCAAAAGAAGAAAAGGCCTGGGAGCCGCTCACTGTCCTGAAGGCAGACCTGGAAGTGCAGAGGCTGCCCTCGCATTTCTAGCTGCCCCCACCCCCCAGCTTCCGGAAGAGCAGCAGACCTCTTCACCCCGTCTCCCTTGCTGAGCCTGAGGGGTGGCAGCAGCCAGAACAGAGGCAGTGAGGCCTGTTCAAACTTGTTTTTATTATCTCAGGGGTCAGGGCATGGGTGCAGGGGCGGGATGGGGGTGGGGGGTGATGCATAACTTGGGTTTCAGGAGGAGCCCCAGGCCTCGGGAGTGCCCTGGGTCTAGCCCCTAGTAGGGGTGCTTCAGGGTGTGCTCCATGATGGTGCGAATGGCCATCCACGTCTCCTGGGCGGTGGGGACGATCTGTGTGGCTGGCAGCAGGAAGCCATAGCGCCCGGTGTCCCGGAGCTCAAAGCTGAAGGCGTACTTGATGCCGCTGTCGTAGGCCCAGTCAACGGTGATCCCGCTGGCTACATCTACAAAGAAGCAGGCCAAGAAATGCCCCAAAAGGAAGAACGGGGCGTAGCCACAGGGAACAGAGGCATCCTGAGTGGGCCGTGGGTCCTGGGACCAAACCCTCACCCATCTCAGGCCACACCAAGCTTCCTGGCCCAGGCCCACCTGCCCTCCCCAAACCGAGCCCCACCCACACAACCCATTCGCCACCCCTGCAAAAAGAAGGTTCCTTGAGGGCATCAGACTTAGGATCTTTTCCCTCAAGGAACTTAGCCTAAGGCAGGCATTAGGAGCCATGTACTAAAGCTGCAAAGAAACAGCTCTCTGGGGTGCCCCCCATTCTCCCAGCTACCCAGGTGTGGAAGTCCATTCGGGCCCAGTTTGACTAGGTGTGTGATGGTTCCCCGCAACCACCAGACTTGTGTCTTAGAGGCTGCACCTGCCTGACCCAGTGGACAAGGGGCCTGAGCAGTGCTAAGGGAAGGGTCACTCACAGAGGGTGGTGCTGATGCTGCCGTAGATGTACTCGACCCCGTGGACCTCATACAGGGCCTTCACTGCCTCCCTGGCCAGCTGGTACTGCAAGATTATATCCAGAGGGTCAGAGGCTGGCGCCCAAAACATCCCTCACCCCCACCCCCAGCTGGTGAGAGGCGGGAACTTAGGAGTCCTGCAAGTCGGAAGTGCAGGTAGCTCTCAAGAGAAGGGAGCAGAGCACCTCTGACTTTGAACTTGACCACACGTGAGACAATGACCCCCCTTTCCCCTGCCCTAGAGTCTACTTCAACTTGGCAGGGACGTTTATATTTTCTATACTCTCAATTTCCTGACAGAGAAAGTTTCTTTTCTTCAATTTATCATGGTCTACCCAATCAGTTGCCATCAAGTTGATTTTGACTCATGGCAACCTCATGTGTACAGATTGGAACTGCTCCATAGGGTTTTCACCGCTGTGACCTTTCAGAAGCAGATTGCCAGGCCTGTCTTCTGAGGAGCCTCTGAGTAGGTTTGAACCGCCAACCTTTCGGTTAATAGTTGCATCATCCAGGGACCCTCTGGGGTCTATTGGTCCACACCCTGTTTTCAGAGTGGCCTGAACTCTCTGGGAGTGGACCACATGTGGATTTTCCTGCGGAGGGGCCTCCTTTCTCCTCCCCAAAACCCTGAGCAGCCAATCTCACCAACTCCTTCTGGTTTGAAACAGGCTCCAGTGTGTGGCCATAAGGGTACATGAGCATCTGAGAGTAGCTGTGGATGGAGATGAGGGCCTTGATCTTCCCGTGGGCCGTGATGAACTTCACAATGGCAGCCACCTCTGGCTCTGACTGAGGAAAGGGTCCGTGGTAAGTCTCTGAGCAGGGGTTTTTGTTAGAACCATTTCCTGGAAGTGAAATAGAATCACCCAAAGAGTTAGAATTCCCGGGTGCGGCAGAGACACTTAATGCTCACAAACTATCCATGTGTTCCCCCACATTTCCCAGCCTCCCTTGCAGTTTGGTTGAGGCCATGTGACTAGTTCTGACCAATGAGAATGTTAGCAGATATGATGTGTCACTCCTGGTCTGTGGCTGCTAAGAAAAACCAAACCAGCTGCCATGGAGTCAGTTCCTGTGTACATCAAAATAGCACTATGCTGCATAGGGTTTTCTGTGGCTAATTTTTCAGAAGTAGATTGCCAGGCTTTTCTTCCAAGGTACCTCTGGGTGGACTTGAACCCCCACCTTTCAGTTAGCAGCTGAGCACGTTCTCTACATTCTCTTCTGTCTGTGTGGCTGGATGCAACAAACTCTAGATGGAGGCATCCTGAATCCCTCTGTCACCGTTGGAAGGGAGCTGCTAAGGAGCGTCACCTACCCACATTGGACTTTGTATGCGTGAAAAAAAAACTTTTGTTGTGTTAAGCCAATTTTGGTGGGTGTTTGTTACTGCAGGAGTCCCTAGTGGTACAAATAGTTAATATATTCAGCAGCTAACCAAAAGTTTGGACGTTCAATTCCACCCAGATGCACCTGGGAAGAAAGGCCTGGTGATCTACTTCTGAAAAACCAGCCGTTGAAAACCCTACGGAGCACAGTTCTACTCTGACACACGTGGGATTGCCATGAGTTGGAACTGACTTGGTGGCTACTCTTCTTTTTGTTACCGCAGCATCCCCTAGTCTAATACACCAGAGAAGTATAGCCATACCATGATTCAGCAACTCTGTAGCCTGCCCAGAGCTCCCTCGCCTTCTCCTTTGGTTAAATACTGGCCATGGGTCCATTAGAGAGGCAGACCTGCCTCAGAAGCTGCATCCAGGGGAAACTAGGTTTCCCTAACCCGACCCTAGCTTCTCATACTGAGCAAGGACCCCTTTAGGCTGAGCCTCCACTGCCATGGGCAAGGCTTGGGTTCACTGTCAGCTGAGAGCTCTGACTTGGTGTTTGCTCAGGCTTGGCCAGGAGCACCATGGACTTGGGGACCAGGCGAAGAGAGAATAGATCCCTATCGCTGTACGAGGCTGGTCTGGGACCCACAGATGCCAAGGAGTCTTTGGAAATTCTTCTTGGAGGCCTTGAGTTGGAACTATTTTTCTATTTCTTTTCACAAGTTTCATTTGTTCCAATCTCCTCCTAGGTTCTCTGCTCCCTGTCTCTATTCTTCCTCTTCCCCTCCTCTTTCCTCCCTACCCAAGGGCCATGTCCTGGAGGGCTGGGCTGGGCTGGGCTGGTCAAGATATGTGGGTTAGGGGCATATTTGGAAAAAGTCATTCCTATTTCTCCTTTTACACCTTGAAACAACAGCACCCAAGCCCAGCCCAGAGGCCAGGGATCACCCCAACTCCAGAAGCCTCCTGAGGATGCAACAGCACCCTGCTTGCCTCCCCGGACAGCAGCTGGCCAGAAAGCTGCTGGGCTGGCTGAGGGGCTGGCTCAGATGATGCTCTCGAATTGCAGCAAACCCGTCCTCCCCACGAGCGCAGGTGATGGCGCACGCAGGTGGGAGGATGATCTACGGATTACTCATCACACAGCAATTAAATTAAGGTGATAATAAAACCATAAACAAAATCTTCCCGCCTGAGTCACCAGCCCAGACACATGCTATTTCTGGCCATGGGGAGGCACAGAGGCAGCTCTGTCTCTGGGGAGCACACCCCCTCTTGGTCTGCTGGTCCCCTCCTGGGGTGGAGACCCTGGTTGGAAGGGGCTGAGCCTGTGAGGAGCGAGGGGGTGCGGAGCAGGCCCACGGGCTGGAGTGGGCCCAGCTCACAGCGGCCCTGTTTGTTGTGTCTGCCGTGAGTTCTGCACCTGCCGCACTGGATGAATGACAAATAGGAGCAGATGAGCCGAGCGGGGAGGCTGAAAGCTTTGTCTGCATTTGCAGCCCACGCCTTGGCGAGCGGTTCCCCTGCCAACGGCCAGGTGGCTTTGCCCAAATATGGAGAAACACTTCAGGCCATTAGTTCTGGTTTGAGCTAAGCAGAATAAACTAATCTGCCCCCGACCAAATGGGAATTAGCTGTCTGCCTCTCTCTGCTGCTCCCGGTCAAGGTCTTCTGAGTCTGCCTGTTTCACAAGTACCTGCTAATGGATTCATTAGCTGTTTATTTTTCCTTTTCTAAAAATGTAATTTGGGGCAAGGGGAAGTCTTTGGGAGGACCTGGCAAATCATTAAAAGCAGTAATCTTTGGGTAGTGGGATTTGGGGAGCTCTGTTCCTTCTCTGGGTTTTTTTCCCCCCTTGTATATTTTTTTTTACATTATACCGATATTTTTTCCTGTGGAGAAACCACACAAGTTATTTTCTTTAAAGAGTTAATTTGTCTTTCCACTAGGCAGTCTACCTCAGGGTCCCTGGGCACTCACTTCAGTCAGTTCTGGGACCCACGTGGACACCCCCCTAGGGCAAGCGTATGGTCATCTGGAGGTGGAAACACTATTTCTGTGTGGTCGTGTTACCTTATATAATCTGTCACACACACAGCCCCGGACTCTCAGGCAACCCCCATTGTGGGTTGGAGTCTCGCTCTGGATGGTTCAGAGCCACCTTATTTTTCAGTAAGAATAGATCCAAATAAGCCAGATATTCAAAGTAATGGGCATCCAGATCTAGAATGTTCTATCTCCTTGGTTTGGCCACCAGGCTATGGATCTTTGCAACAGCAGTGGTACTGTCCCCTGTGTAGCCAGACCCCAATCCCCCAGTGTAGTATGGATGCCGCTTTTGGGGGCCAAGGGCTGTGTCTGTGCAACCCCTGGCTCTGGGGCTTCTGTCCTGGGTAGACCCAGCATTCTAACCATCAAACTGCTGCATTCCTGGGGCCCATGTCCCAGACTCCAAGCTTTCTGGAGGCCTCAGTTTCCCCATCTCATCCCAGTGTCCCTGGCATAGTAAGGGACACAGTCAGGGAAGACCACCAAGAAACCCAGGAGAAAGGTGCCCCACCCCTCTCCCTGGGATCACACAGCCATGCAGATATGCACCAGCCCACTAGCCCAGGGTTACAAAGTAATTGGGCCAAAAATATAAACCAGGCTGGGCAAGTCAGCCTCAATGATAAGGAAGCGGCTCCTTCTATATTTGAACTATTCCTCCAGCTTCCCAAAGGGCAAATTGCAGGTCCCAGCTCCTGAGGAATGAGTCCAGAGGCCTTTTCTTGTGGTTTACTCCCTAAAAGGAAGAGCTAGGGACATTTGGGGGCACCATAAACGCTGGGTATTGATCAGCTAGCAAGACAAGCCTTTCCTGCCGTAGTTAGGGTTTGACCCTTGAAGTTAGTCCCCATTTCAAGAGCTGGGGGCTCCCTTACAGGTTTTGCATGAAAATGGAGCATATGCACATGCTGAACACACATGTGCAACCTCTCCCCACATGCCATAGCCACTCTTAGCCACATGCTGGCCTGTCCCCGGCCATTACTCACTCATCTTATCTCACTGCATGGCCCCGTGCCTCTCAAGTTATGAATCAATGTAATCTGACCATGTAGGAGAACCTGTCAAGGACCAAGAGTTCCCTGCCATCCCTGCCCCTGGGCCAGCAGGTTGACATACCTCCAAAACCCGTCTTCCAGTTCCTGTTGAGATCCACGCCAATGCAGAAGATTCCAGGTCTGGTGGACTTGTTCTTTCGCCACAAGCGGTTCTGAGAAAGCCCAGGTCAGAAGACCTCATTAACTGGGCCCACCCCAGGTGGACACCTCTCCCTGACATCTTGGTCTGTGGAGGGGGCTGGTGGAGTAGGAAGTGCTAGGATGGGATGAGAGCTCTAGGTGGGGACTGGGCCAAGGCTGCAGATACTTTTGGGTCAAGTCAGGGTCTGAGGAGAAGCCTGAGCTGAGGCTGCCATGCTGGCTTCCCTGGGCAGCAGGAAGGAGGTCAGCGGGCAAGAAGCCACAGCCCCTGAGCTATCGTCCTGGCCCTTGGGGATGTTCTCAGCAAGGAGCCCCTGAAGGCAGGGACCTAGCCTCAGTGACCTTTCTTCCCTCCCCCAAGTATGCCCCCTGAGTCCTCACCATGCTGTGGGTAAAAGCAAACCCATCAGGGTTGGTGACAATCTCCATAAAGATGTCCATGGCATTCAGTATGTTTATCAGGATGGGGTCTTTGCTGTATTTACTGACAATCTGCAGGAAAGGAGGGGTGGGTGCAGGGTGAGGGATGGGGGGCCCTGCTGTCTCCTTCGAGGTGCAGTAGGACATGTGCACAGCCAGCGGCTACAGGAAGGGGCGTCACCAAGCCACCAAGGACAGCCTTCATGCAGAACCAAAGACTTGGATTTCCAACATCGAGAAGCCCAAGGAGACACATGGGCTCTGGCCAGTGAAAGGCCAGAGCACATGGTCTCTGTCCCAAAAGGCAGGCAGGCAGGCATACAGCACCCAGATTTTGAAGGCACCAAGGATCATTTTCCAAGTGGAGGTGTCCTTAAGTAGTTGAACAGCCCCACCCTTGACCCTGGTTCCATCCCCCATCACAGGGGCCCCTCGGCTGCATGTCCCTGCTGACCTTCTTGGCAATCCAGATGCCGGTGGCATGGGTGATCCACTCTCGAGAGTGAATCCCAGTGTCAATCCAGATGGCTGGGCGCTGAGAACCTCCAGTGCTAAACTGGGAAAAAGAACCGGGCACCAAATGGTAGGTCACCAAGACGGTTCCTGGAAAGAGGCTCCAGAGACATCCTCCCTGACTGGGTGCCTCCACATGCCAGGTGGGCTTTGCCGAGAGGGGGCGTGTGTGCAGGTGCCTGCATGTGCCATGAAGCTGCACACGTGGGAGTCCTGGTGAGATGGAGCACAGTATCTCCCAGGTTGGAAAGCATCTTAGACTAGTGCTTCTCAGGCTTTATGTGCACACAAGTTACCTGGAGTCTTACTAAAATGCAGGAGGTCTGGGGAGGAGCCTGAGGCTCTCCATCTCTAATGAGCTCCCAGGTAATGCTGATGATGCAGTCCGTGGACCACACTTTGAGTAGCCAGGCCTTGGACATTCAAGAGAAGATAGATGGCCTCTGGGGGAAATGAGGCAGGGGCAGGGGATTCAAGTCCCAAGTAAGGTGATACCACTTGGCCATTGGGAAGCATCTCTAGGGCATTCCTGAGGGCAAGAGGGCCTGTCTTTCCCAGAAGCTGGTGTCAAATGCCAGCCTGGCCATACTCCTGAGTGCTCTTTAGGGCACGTGATAAGAATCGGTTTCAGGGGGCGAGTACATGGGCCCCCCCCACACCCCACTTGCCCGTCCTACCTCCTCATGACCATGGGTACTGCAGTAGCCAAGTCTGCTCAAACTCTGTTTCCAGTGGCCCCTGGGAAGGGCTGAGCAGTCTCCCCATAGACTCAGGCCTATCTGTGGGGCTGCCTGAACTAGATGACCTTGGTCATTTGGAAATAAGGCCTCCAAGTATCTCTCTTCCCATTTAACAAGTGAAGCAACTGAGGCAACAGGAGGAAGATTGACTCACTCACACTCACACCCCACATCCAGGGTGATAACTGTCACTCTGCAGCTCCCTCCACTTAGCCACCCTCCCACCTACTTCCTGACCCAGGATGTGCCAGGTCACCTGTCCACATCTACAAGGGTTGGTGGATCCCTGCACACCACAGTCACAAGTCTACGGGTCACCTTAGGACAGGGGTGCACGATCCTCCCTCTCCCCGATACTCCTCCCCTCCCCTGCCGCCAGCCATTACCCCCATGAGCTCAGTCTTACACCAGAGGCTCTCACAGCAGCATCTACTGGTTCACACCGCGCTTTTACCTTCAGGACAAGAATGGACCGGTTTTCAAAGCTCTGGCCAATCTGGATTTTTGAGACAATATCTGAATGTTCTGTTACAAAACTATCGATCCAGTTATATATCTGAAAAAGTGAAAGTTATCACACTAAGAGTAAAGCAGGGAGAGGGGTGAACCCCAGGACTTCTCAAAATGTTCTGCTTCCTCCATCCCCCCCTCCCCATTGCTTTCCCACCTCCTTTGAGGGTACAAAAGAACCCAGATCAAGAATACAAACACCAAAGAAGCCCTCGAAGGCTAAGGGCAATGCGTGGTAACCTACTCAAGGTCCAGGTTTCTCACCCCTGTGCAGAGCTAAGCCTTTGCCTGGGCAAACAGCATATCCTGTGCCTACTCCAATCCCCAGGCCTGCCTGCATTGCTCTCTCTGGTTGGAACTTCTCCCACTTGCCTCCATTCTCTTGGACCATTCAATCCATTTGACAGATCTCAGAGGCCTGGTAGTGCTGTTTCTGGTCTTACTGCCCCTTTTAGATTCTAAGCCCCTTGAAGGCAGGGCCAAGTTTTATTTATCTTTGGCATCAATAAGTAGTGACTATATTCATTCATTCTCTTATGCTTTCAATCAGCAAATATATGAAAGAAAATGGATCCTCTATTACAGACCTTGTGAAGTGATGGCAATAATGACAGAGTGGACAAGATCAATAACGTCATGTCCTTTACATGTGCAGTGGGGCCTGCACCTGGAGTTTCTTTCTGGAGTGGCCATCCCTGTGCCCACCTTGCATATTCTCCTTTGTAAGTAAGTCACAATCAGTCCTGCCTGCCCCAGCTGGCTGTAACAGAGACCATGAATTTTCTACATGTGAAGTCAACTTTGTTTTATTCTACAAACATTGCTCTCCAGTGTGCCTGGCTTCCTGCACCTCCCACCCTCTAGAACCCACAGCTGGGGCCATTTAACACAGGGCTGATTGTGGAGAGGTCAGGACCCCTGGATCCCTAGCCAGGGGGTAGACCTGAAGGCAGCCTCCTGTCTGCCCTGTTCTGGCCAATAGCAGGTCCTTGCCTCAGAGTTCTGCCATAGACCCCTTACTCTGGTCCTGAGCCCTCCCTTGCTCGCATACCTCCCTCCAACTATAGTTTGAACTGCAGTCTCTCTGTGTGAATCCTGGGCTCTGGGACTCTTTAAGGCTGATTGCCTACCTAACAGATATCTACCTACTGTCTGCTCTGATTCCCCAGGTGTCAGTTCACAGTCTCCTGTAGCCCCCCTAAGTCCTTCACTAGTCTCTGCCTGAGTCGGGAGACCCCAAGGGACAACACAGCCCAGAGCTCAGAGCCCAGGCAGACCTACCTCCTCCAGGGTGTGGTAAGAGGAGTAACTGAAGCTACTGGTGCTGCGCTCCAGCCGGCGGGATTTCGCCATGGCTTCTCTCTCCTCATCCAACAGCACCTGGGAGACAGGAACACATACTGGAAGGGAAGGGGAGGGCTGGGCAGGTCTTGCCTCTTCTGAGCCCTGCCTGTGCACAAAGACAGCATCGGCACAGGAGAATCGGCCACCATGAGCATGAGCTGCACAACAGAAGGAGCTGCCAGATTGCTGCGGATTCTTCTGCTGGGCAGAATCCATGCTGCCTTTTCCCCCATGAGCAAAGGCAAGGAGTTTGGAGAGCCGGGTTCCAAGTCTGCCTCTTCCACTAGTGTGCTGTGTAACCTTAGCTTTAGTCTCCTCAGCTTGAAAGTTGGGACAACAATATTTGCCTTGGCCACCTCAGAGAATAAAATGTAGTAATGGATACGGGGCCCTGTTGGCACAGTGGTTAAGAGTTTGGCTGCTAACCAGAAGGTAGGCAGTTCGAATCCACCAGATGCTCCTTGGAAACCCTATGGGGCAGTTCTTTTCTGTCCTATAGAGTCACTATGAGTCGGAATTAACTCGACGACAATGAGTTTTTTAATGGATATGCATGTTTTGAAAAACGTGCTCATGTCCTACTGCCAGCATGGCTTTCGTTCTCTGTAAACACTCCGTTGAGTCAGGGCCTAAGCTGACCCATGTACACTGACAGAAACTAGGATGAGCAGAGGGCTCCCTTGTCCCCAACATCAACTTTACCTCCAAGAAGTAGCCTAGACAACTGGTACCCAAGCCATTTGGAAAGCCAGTTCAAATCATTATTAATGTACCAAGAGTCTTTGACTCACCATGTTAACTGCCTCCTAAACACAAGTCCAGGTGAGCTGAATGCAGTCCTGGGGGTCAATCTGGAGGTGGCATTCAGCTCTCACATGGTACTTCCCACTGACCATAGAGAGGACAGTATGGTGCCTGGGCTGGGTTAGCTGCCCACTGCTTGGACCTCCCACATGGTCCTGGTTCATTTCTCCCAGCTTGGGTCACAGTGAGGTGGGCAGGCGTCCTTCACTCAAGCTTATACCCTCACACTGGCACCCAGGGTCCAAGGCAGCCAGGATGTAGCACTGACTGCCCACCATGGCGAGGGCCCCCTCTGCCACAAGGGATGCTGGGAAAATGGGGACTCCAACCCAAAGTTGCCACTTGTTTGCAGCTCTGGGTCACAAGTAAGTCCTGACCATGCCTTCCTTTTGGCCAGAGCCTTTTAGTTGCACTTTATCCTCATTGTCTCATTCAATCTGCTCAGCTGACCAGACGATAGGGCAGGAATGAACCCTTCCCAGTTCAAAGATTTGGTAGATCAGAGACATTTGGCAGATTAAAGCCAACAAGTGCAGACATGAGATAAGAACTCTGACAGCTAGTTCTTAGCCTTGGGTTCCTTAAGACTAGCTATCAAAAGCAAAGGCTAACAACAATAACTATATCTATGTCTATGTTTTCATCTTGCTTACTTTGGACATGTCTTCAGGAAAGACCAATCACTAGAAAAGGACATCCTGTTTGGTAAAGTAGAGGGTCAGCAAAAATGAGGAAAACCCTCAGTGAGATGGATTGGCAGAATAGCCACAACAATGGGCTCAAATATACCAACGATCATGAGGATGGGGCAGGACGGGCAATATTTCTTTCTGTTACACATAAGGTTGTCATGAGTCGGAGGCGACTCAACGGCAATTAACAAACTAACAGCAACATGTCTACACATGGACAGAGAGAGAGAGAGAAAGCAAATGTGCAAAATATTAACAGCAGCTAAAAACTCCATTGTACTATTCTTACAATAAAAATTTTTTTAAATGATGAAAAAGTAAATACCCTTGAGCACAGGGAAAAAAAAGACACCACAATGCCAAAAACCAAAAACACAAAAATGCAACCATGCCTGTTAGGATAGAAGGATTGTGATTTTGAGTGATTTTTTCTTTATTTTTACATTTTTTTGTCATGTGCTTACACTACTTCAATAGGTAAGAAATTATAAAAATGAATAAAAAAAAAAAAAAAAAAAAACAGCCGTCATGGCTAAAATGAAGCGGCACATGGAGTCCTCAAACCCCAGAGCCGGAAGACAGGCCCACCCACCTGCCCCAGAGGAGGCCACCGCCGGCGATGAGCTCCTCTCTGACGACCTAGTCGCTTACTCACCAGCCTCAGGCTTACAGATTTAAAAATGGAACTGGAAATAGATGTCTGGGGCTCATTTTTATTTTTGAGCATCAGCTACACCCTAGGCCATTGTAACTGCAGTGTGTTCTAGCTGAGCTGGCTGGGCTGGGGACAGTCACAACTGGGCAAAGCCAGGCCTGTCCATCCACCCAGTTGGATACGGCTGGAGAGCCCTGGTCCTCACTGGCACAAGCACCACCCTGGGAGGCTCTAACAAAGGAATTTGTCTTCTTCCCAGGAAATCAGACAAAATCTCCACAGCCCACCATGACCAATGTGTGCCCATCACTGTGGGATAGCCGGGTGCTACCAGCTGTGGTGAGCAGCTGCCAAGGGTGGAGCAGGCCGGGCTGGTGTGCACATGGAGTTAGCGGGCCTGTTCCCAGGCTATAGCCCCAATGAAGTGAGGTTGAAGGGACTAGGCATCTAATTTCCTATAGGGACTGATGTGTTGTTGTTATTAGGTGCCATTGGGTAGTTTCCGACTCATAGCAGCCCTATGTACAACAGAATGAAACACTGCCCGTTCCTGCGCCATCCTCACAACTGTTGTTATGCTCGAGCCCATTGTTGCAGCCACTGTGTCAATCCATCTCATTGAGGGTCTTCCTCTTTTTCGCTGACCCTGGACTTTACCAAGTATGATGCCCTTCTCCAGGGACTGATCCTTCCTGATAACATATCCAAAGTATGTGAGATGAAGTCTCGTCATCCTTGCTTCTAAGAAGCATTCTGGCTGTACTTCTTCCAAGATGAATCTGTTTGTTCTTTTGGCAGTCCATGGTATATTCAACATTCTTTGCCAACACCATAATTCAAAGGCATAAATTCTTCTTCAGTCTTCCTTATTCATTGTCCAGATTATGCACACAAATGAGGCGATTGAAAACGCCATGGCTTGGGTCAGGCACACCTTAGTCTTCAAGGGACTGAAAGGTGATGCAAACAGTTAGCACATTAGATGGCTAATGAAAAAGTTGGAGATTCGAATTCACCCAGAGGGATGTTGGAAGAAAGGCTTAGCGATCTACTTCCGAAAAATTAGCCATTGAAAACCCTATGGAGCCCCTGAGATAAGCTTTAAAACTTAAACCAAAAATATCCCCTGAAGTCTTCTTAAAACCAAACAATAGTACAGCTTAACTAGTGATTAGACCTTTGTCAGATCTGTCACAGCCAAATATTTTTTCCCAATCTGTAGGTTCTCTTTTTACTCTTTTGGTGAAACCTTTTGATGAGCATTTAATTTTTAGAAGATCCAGTTATCTAACTTATCTTCTGGTGTTTGTGTATTGTTAGTTATGGTTTGTATCCTGTTAACGCCATGTATTAGGGCCTCTAGTGTTGATCCTATTTTTTCTTCTATGATGTTTATAGGTTTTGGTTTTATATGTAGGTCTTTGATCCATTTTGAATTAACTTTTATGTATGGTGTGAGGTATAGTCCTGTTTTCATTTTTTTGCAGATGGATACCCAGTTTTGCCTACAGCATTTGTTAAAAAGACTGTCTTTTCCCCATTTCATGGACTTTGGGCCTTTGTCAGGTGACCATAGGTGGTTGGATTTACATCTGGGTTCTCAATTCTGTCAATGTGTCTGTCGTTGTAGCAGTATGCGGCTGTTTTGACTACCGCAGCTGTATAGTAGGTTCTGAGGTCAGGTAGTGCAAGTCCTCCTACTTTCTTCTTCTTCTTCAATAGAGCTTTATTTATCCTGGGCTTCTTCCCTTTCCATATAAAGTTAATGATTAGTTTTTCCATCTCTTTAAAGAATTTAGCTTAACTAGTAAAGAATGTCTGCCTTGAGCATTATGTATTTTAAGATCTATCTATATGGGATCAAAGTAACAAGAGCAACTCATTAGACAGGAACCTTAGGTGGGTAAGTTTATGTTAATGGAGAAGGAACAACTCAGAAAAGGAGGGTAAGAATGGTTGCACAACTCGAAGAATGTAATCAGGGTCACCGAATTGCACACGAAACTGTTGAATTGGTGTATGTTCTGCTTGTGTATAGTCTCAACAACAACCAAATTATTTTTTTAAAAAACCCTATGGTGCACAGTTCTACTCTGACACACATGGGGTCACCATGAGCTGGAGTCAACTCAACAGCAGCTAGTTTTGTGTGGAAGGTCCGAGGCGGTAGGTGAAGGTGGAGAACAGGGAGGAGAAATTGGAGAGCAAGGACCAGAGGAGCCAGTTCTTTCTACACAGTCCAGACTCCCACAGGAGGGCAGCTCCCAGGAAGCCAAGCTGTGTTCCACACAACAGCCTGAAGGCAAATGGGAAGTGGGCACCAAACCTCGAACAACTTCCCAAACGCCCTTACAGCAGCCGTGTGAGTCGCTGTGACACCCTCTCGCAAATGGGGACTACTGCTCAGCCCTCACAGCCCCCTCAGTTCCAGACCTGAAAACTTCACAGATGTCTGTTCCCTTCCCAGGGCCGAGGGAAGGGGATGTGAGAGCTAAGGAATGCGGCCTTGCCACCGGCTCCCTCCAGAATGCCTAATGACAGCCCTGCCAGGCTTCTCAGGGGAAAAAAAAACTCAGAAGGAAGCCATTTGCCTCCCTGGAAGCCATAACCTGACAATGAAAGTCATACCTGGGTGTGAATTAATTTAGGAGAGGGGTAAGGGCCAGATGGGGCACTAAGCAGAGAACAGCACTCCGGCGTGGGGGAGGGAGGGACATAGGGCCCTGGAAAGGCTATGCGGAGGCCTGAAGGAGCCGGTCCTCTCAGCAGCTGAACAACCACAGACATGAAATGGATGGAGGGGTGGGGCACGGAGCTGAATCAGCTCTGTGACAACGGCAGGCACCTCTCCTGGTACATCCTGGGCCTCCTCTTCCAGAACTAAC